ATTAATGTGTGGAGGGAGAAGTGAGATTTTGTTTGCTTCTTAAAAACTATTTTAGAATTATTACTGGAACTCCATGCTTCCATCCGATCTAACATTAAACAAAGAGGGAGCTTGGGGGATGCAAGTAATAAACTGCAAGTTCATCAGCCAGATTTTTTTCAGTCAAGAGAGGTTTAGACAGCAAATGTCAAGGAACCTGACGTTATGATAAAGCTTGGAGTGGTTCCTACTTGTTGTCTTGGTTTCAGATTTGTACCCATATTGGTAAGCAGCAGCTGGAACTTGAATTTATTTTCTCCACTCAAGTCCAGTGAAACCAAAATCCTGTTGTAGAAATCTCCCATTGAGATCCGTAGACCAGTACTTTGGAATCTATCACCTTTCTTTGCACTACGCTCTCTTGCTGCCTTTCCACTCCCACCTTCATTCTTTTTCAATTGTATTGAAAATAGTTGTCAAAAACACACGAGGGAAGAGACTCTGAAGCATTATAGCGTGACTGTTTGCTCAATAACAACAATGTAGGTGTCGGATTTGTACAGTTTACACGTCAAGTCCCACCTCATTAACGAATGGTCTAATGAGGCATTCAGCATTCTGTGCCAAAATTCTTCTGTGGTTTGATTCATATTATTCCCAGTCTCTTTCCCCTCAGGTATCAGAAAGCGGCAGAGGAAGCAAGCAGTGAACGAAAGAAAGGGGTAGGTGCACCTTTTCAGATTGGTTCAGTGTTTTATTTCTGCTTCTTTGCATGTGCAGAGAATGTACATTGAGCTGCAATTACTCAATGAAAACGTGCTAGCTAAAAGTAATCATACGCTTTTGGAATTTGGAGTTTTTTGCAATCTTGTACATGCTCTCGCTAATCAGGAATTATAGTGTGCATGATCAGTAAGTGGTTCTTCTGATTACTATCCCAGGGTAGTCACATTCTCATAACTTTTTCACATGTTCTGACAGGATAGCTATGCACATCTATCTGAATTAATTTCTCCAGAGCATCTACTGAGTGGTCAATCGAATATCTTTGCATTGACCCAAGAAAAATCATGCACTGTGTTTGTTAGTTGCGTTGTACTATTGGAGGACAGTGATATGGGTTTAAATGTTTAAAACTTGGTTAACAAACCTGAAGTCATGGAGAAAAAGTGAATGTAGTTTGCACAACTGTTGGAAGATATTTCACTTGTTCCAGTGCAGTGCCAGCAGGAACTGAGAGAGCTGCACGTTTGTTCCCTGGCATCATTGTGCAGTTATTGTAGTCCTTGTTCTCTACCACATCCGCATCTCCAAAATTGTTCCTCCCCAACAAACCAAAGGATTGAAATGCCTGCAGAGGATCCTTTTCCTGTTTTATAATTTTTTTGATTCATTCACGGGATGTGGGCGTCACTGACCAAGCCAGCATTTATTACCCACCCCTAACTGCCCGCTGGGCAATTAAGTGTCAAGAGAGGTGATGGCCTAATGGTATTATTGCTGGACTGTTGATCCAGAGACCCAGATAATGTTCTGGGGACCTGGGATCGAATCCCGCCCTGAATAGTAATTTGTGTGGGAGCAGAGCCAAGCAGTCTAAGGCGTGGCATTTACGCTGCAGCCTCTAAAGAGGTGTGGGTCCGAATCCCACCGCTACCACACGTACTGATAGCATGTTATGACAAATTGCAGTGGGGGTGAGCACTTAATGGTTGATATGGTGGTACAGTGGTTCGCATTGCTGTCTCTCAACATCAGGGACCTGGGTTCAATTCCAGCCTCTGGTGACTGTCTGTGTGGAGTTTGCATGTTCTCTCCATGTGTGTGGGTTTTCTCCAGGTGCTCTGGTTTCCTCCTACAGTCCAAAGATGTGCAGGATAGGTGGATTGGCCATGGGAAATTGTCCATAGTGTCCAGAGACGTGCAGGTTAGGTGGGTTAGCCATGGGAAATGGAGGGTTCGAGGGATAATGTGGAATCTGGATCTGGGTGGGATGCTGTTCGGAGGGTCAGTATGAATCAATGGGGTGAATGGCCTCTTTCTGCACTGGGGATTCTGAGAAGTGTGGAGTCACATGTTGACCAGACCAGGTGAGGATGGCAGTTTTCTTCTTTAAAGGATATTGGTGAACCAGCTGGGTTTTTCCTGACAATTGACAATGGTTTCATGGTCATTCTTGGAATCCTAATTCCAGATGGTTATTGAATTTAGTTTATACCATCTGCCATGGCAGGGTTTGTACCCAGGTCCCCAGAGCATTGCCAGGATCCCTGGAGTAATAGTTTAGTGATAATAACACTAGGCCATCACCTTCCCTAAAATCCCCTAAATTATAATAAAGATAACTGATCTACAAATACAGAGAACAAAGCCAAAATGGGCTATTGGTGAGGAAATATTTTGCCACCAGAATCTAATGCAGAGGAGTTGAATTATATGTAACTTCCTCCTTGTATAAATCTACTGAGCAAAAGCTCCTCCGAAGATTCATTTGTACTAGTTAATACCTTTGAATTTGTTGAAGTAGTCTGCAGGATTGAAACCTCTGTCTTGTTGCAAAGAACACCATAGTTAATTTAGAACCTAGTATGTTAAGCTTGGAATTTTTCTTTCTGGATCTTTTTAAAATGAAAAAGCAGGAAGAACAAGGGCCCCTGGGAGGGAAAAGGTTAAGTAGTTAATTTCTGGCTTCCAAAAATCAGGTTACTAAATTAGATCAGTAGTAGCTAGGGCATTTGGATCAGGTGAATCCCAGATTTGGTTGCTGTGCTGAGTTAATTGGTAGAGGTGTGACAATTGATCTCAAGCTTACTGAAGTAGACCAGAAAAAAATGACCAGCATTTCTGCTGGGTATCCAATGACCTATGTTAGTGTGTTTGTTTGAAGATTGGAGTCCAGTTTGGTTGTGGTGTCTTAAAAACTTATTAGCACTCCTATCTTTTGCACAAGGAAGCTTGGACAGTGTGAGACTGGAAGGATCACAACCTATTTGAGACAAGGTTAGAGGAAGAAGAAATTGGCAGAAAGAATATTTAATAGTTTTGTATCTGTTTAGGCCACAAAAATATTTTAAAACAAGAGAAATAGAAGAAAGTTATTGGATCTTGGGGAAATTACATGGTTAAGTAAGTTTCAAAAAAATTTATTTTTTTTTAAGTGTTTAAGAATTGTAAAACAATGATCCCAGTTGAGGTCTCATTTAGCACAAGTTTCCCTTCATCCCACTGAACCTGCACCCCTACAAAATATGTACACCTAGGAATCTTCTTGTTAATGGTAAGTGTTTTTTTTTGGGGGGGAGGTTCCAGGGCATGTATTAAATGTTGAATGGTTACCAGATAACATTCACAGGGTTAAGTGGCTACTTGGTTTTGAAGAGTTAAATTTGTGAGGTGGGCCTCAATCTGAGTTTATCCAGTAATCCTTTTTAATTCCTCCAGGTTTTATCTAGCTTTTTCAAACTCATTGTGGGGAAAATGAAAGGAGCATAAGCACCTTGTGTTAATGAATTGCAAACTGGTGCATTTATAACTAACCTTCAATTCTAAGTTTACCTTTTGAACATTATGTTGAAGAGAGAGACCTGTTACTTGATGCTAATTTTAAATTATTAATCTAATAGCAATCACAGCAGCTACTGGGGCAACCTTGTTCTTCCTGCTTTTCTAAATGTCAATTATAACTTAAAATGCATGAGGAAAAAAGGACATTTGTGAATTAAACTATTGCAACAGACTTAAATGAGTATTCATCATTCATCTTGATCTCTGTTTATGAATATAGTATTGGAAAACATCAAGATTAGCTAGTCTATAGAACCTAAATCACTTCATAAAGTTTTAGTATTTTGACAAGGACTCTTACACTTTGCAACTACTTTTCGGCCTATTTCTCTTTTTTGTTTTCCAACACCGCCCCCGCCCCCCCCCACCCAATTTATGCGCTTTGGCCCACCAAGGAGCCAAAGCAGATGGATGGAGTTGAGAAACAAGCTAACCATAATCTAATTGACTGGCAGAACAAGTTGAAGGGACTTAACGGCCTACTCCTGTTATTAATATGTAGTTGCCAGATATGGTTCTGTGCCTTTTCTTTTAGTGCTGAATCAAAGTTTGCCTCTTGTTTTTTGTTTTACTTTCCAAATTCCCAATGTTTGTTTTTAACCCTGATGAAATTCTGCTGGAAAGTGAATTAGGGCAGTGTTGTAATCAATTATGACCTCAACCTGATTTGCCATCTAGATTCTGCTGTGCAAGTTGAAATGGAGGATGTTAACAGGAAAAATTAGTGTGTGTCTGATCCATTGCCCAACCCCTTCCACACAATTATCATATCCCACCATATCAATGATGTCATTAACTTTGTTATTATTTTACCTATTTTTCTAATCAACCTGTTCAGAGATGTTATTACCCACCTCTGGAGCAGATAGGACTTGAACCCAGGTTTCCCATTCCAGGGGTAGGGATGCTACCACTGGGGTGCAAGAGGGCCCTCATTAACTTCTAATGTCAGTAGCCTTAACTCTTCCACTTGACCAATACTGCTGAATCAGTAAGCTTTGCTGGTTAAAGCCTGCTTATAGCCTGCTTATGTGCTTGTTACATGTCCATTACGTGAAAGATGTGATGACAGGAAATGAGTCACCAAGTATAAAACATAACTAACTGCCAAACTTTACATCCACAAGATATTTCTGAAATTGTGCCAGTTTTTGAATTTGTTGTTTGAACTATTTTTCAGCTACAGATGACAGCATTGCACAGGAGTCAAGACTCAGTTTACTGGTATAGCCTGGATTGGCTATGAAATTCTTTGCATTACGTTGGGAAAATCTAAAGGAAATTTCTTGGAAAATTGTAATTTTCAAAATATATTTCTCCAGGCCAAACAAAGGATACTAAGAGGCATACCGTGGATTTTGAGAAACAGTGTGTAACATTGTTGGAGTAGGAAGCATAAGGAGCGTATACTATACAAGTCTTTTGCAGCAAGCATTACATTCATTGGGCAAGCTGTGGCAAGAACAGATTCTGAAGCCTGTTTTTTTTTTTTTTTAAAAAAAACTGATACAAGTAGATACATTTTTGGGGGGATTTTGGCAGTTTATTAAATTATCCTGACCCAGCATCCATGTGTCACTAGGTGTCTTTCTCCAACTGTGGTTTGGGGGGTGATGGGAAGGATTACGGAGTCCATTTGTGCCTTCCTGTTGTTGCAGCTGACTTGGCAGACTGAGATTGCATCTGGAACTCTTTTATAACTAAAGATGTAGCCTTTGCAAAGCTCTGTAGTACTATGTAGTATCTGGTAGGATTGGGAGCAAATTCATCTACAGATCTGACAGTGTATACAGTTGTACTGTGTATGCTGTAAAAATAGCTTATTTTTGACAGTGGATATAGCTTGCTGGATTGCTGTGCAGATGTTCAAAAATTGTTGTAGAGCTTGGCTTATTTGTTGTATAATGCTAGGATGGATCAGAATCAACCACCCATATTTTGGACATGGTAGAAAGCAAAAATAATTTAAGGTCAAATTGCTTGACACTACAATATTTTCCTTCTTCCCTTCCTCCTCCTTCCCATCCCTTAATTTTCCCAGTGCTCTTCCTTTAACCTTTGATGGGGTATGGTTTCAAGGACACTGGCTGTACCCTTGGTATTCTATCACAAGTGGTCTATGATTCAGCAGCCTAAATATTATCAACTTGTACTGGGGAAGGCATTACTGAGAAGCTTGATTCCTCCTTCATGCAGCGGAAGTTACCAAAGAACTACAGTAGCTCCAGATTCCCATCTGATTTACCCCCATCTGGCCTGACACCAGTGGGTTGCTTTGATTGGAATTGGCTGTTGTGAACGTGTTGAGGACTGAAATTGCCAACTTTATTTCTGTAATGTAACTCTATACCACTTGGTAGTGATACTCTGCCATGGGGGCTGCTCAATTTTAAATTTAATTAACTGTACCATTTCACAGAAATTAACAGGGCCATTCAGCCCATTGTGCTTGTGCTAGCTCTTTGAAAGAGTTGTGAGATTGGTCCCACTCCCTTGCCAAATTGCCTTCAAGTAATAAGTAGTTTTTGAATTCCCTTGAGAGTTACTATTGAACCTGTTCACCCTTGCTGTAGTGATATGCCTTCACTTTTAAAGACAAAGATAGGATAATGATAAAGTAGATTCTTTCGCTGTCCATGATTTGTGGATGTGGGGGCCCTGTGACCTCTCTGGCCTCTTCTGTTACTCAGGGTGTGGCAGGATTAGTGATGGTTCATATGACTACTGGCTAGGGGTGGGGAAAATTTCCTATTAGATAGCTCTTGATAGAGCATCCATCTCCACTCTGCTCATTGCTGATTGTCATTAAAACTCCCGCTTGTTCATATTAACACCATCTGACCAAAGTTCCATCTAAGCCATTAAGCAATCAATGCTCTCACGCACAAATCAGTCTCTCACTGCAAAGTTGTATGAAACAATTTAATGGCCCACGGACTTAAATGAATAGATCATGCACGTTAAAGAAATAATTATAGGAGACCTAGCCTTGAAGTCAGGAGCTTACGGGTTCAGATTCCACCCTACAGGCCTGAGCCAATAATCCAGGCTAACCTTTCCAGTGCAGTACTGTCAGGGATGCTGTCTTTTGCACTGATAGTTAAACTGATCCTGTGGATCGGAAAAAATCCTTGTATTTAAAGGAAAGGCAGGACGTTCTCCCCAGTGTCCCTGAATGATATTTATCCTTTTGGCCAATATTAATTTTTAAAAAACAAAATCACAACTCTGCTTAAGAGTCAGAGTTACAGAGATGTACAGCACAGAAACAGAACCTTTGGTCCAACTCGTCCATGTCGATCAGATATCCTAGATAAATCTTGTTACATTTGGCTTATATCCCTTCCCTTCCTATTCATATACACATCCAGATGCTTTTTTTTTAAATGTTGTAATTGTACCAGCCTCCTCCACTTCCTTCTGGCACCTTGTTCCATGCACGCACCACCCTCTGTGTGGAAAAAGTTGCCCCTTAGGTCCCTCTTCAAATCTTTCCCCTCTTAACTAGAGGGCATAGGCTTAAGATTTGGATGCCCCCACCTGAGGAAAAGACCTTGTCTGTTTACCCTATCCATGCCCCTCATGATTTTATAAACTTCTATAAGATCACCCCTCAGCCTCTGACGCTCCAGGAAAATAGCCCCAGCCTATTTGGCCTCTCCCTATAGCTCAAACCGTCCAGCTCTGGCAACATCCTTGTAAATCTTTTCTGAACCCTTTCAAGGTTCACAACATCCTTCCCATAGTAGGGAGACTGGAATTGCACACAGTATTCCAGAAGTGGTCAAACTGATGTCCAGTACACCCTCAACATGACCTCCCAACTCCTATACTCAATGCCCTGACCAATAAAGGCAAGCAGACCAAACACCACCTTCACTATCCTATCTACCTGTGACTCCACTTTCAAGGAACTATGAACGTGCACTCCAAGGTCTCTTTCTTCAGCAACACTCCCCAGGACCTTACCGTTTTAAGTGTACTAGTCCTGCCCTGATTTGCCTTTCCAAAATGCAGTACCTTACGTCTCTCTAAATTAAACTACATCTGCCACCCATTGGCCCATCTGATCAAGGTCCTGTTGTACTGTGAGGTAACCTTCTTCACTGTCCGCTACACCAATTTTGGTGTCATCTGCAAACTTACTAACCATACCTCCCATGTTCACATCCAAATCATTTAAATAAGTGACGAAAAGCAGTGGACCCAGCACCGATCCTTCTCGCACACCATTGGTCACGGGCCTCCAGTCTGAAAAGCAACCCTCCACCACCACCCACTGTCTCCTACCTTTGAGCTAGAACTGTTGTGTGCAACTAGCCTGCTGCTTTTCCTAATTACAGTAGTTGTTACATCTTAATTTTGCATTGGCTGTAAAATTCTTTGGAATATCCTGAATTTGTAAAAGGTGCTGTTTAAATGCAAGTTTGTTCTTCCCCTTTCAAAGGAGACTAATGCCTCTGTCCTGTCTGACCTTCATGTGGCCTCAGTTTAACATCTTTGTGCTCGATTCTTTAATACAAAAATATCGACCACCACTACTGAGGAAGGATACTCTTGCTTTTGAGGGAGTGCAGCGAAGGTTTACCAGGCTGATTCTGAGGATGGTTTGACTGACGAGGTTAGGTACTAAATAAAAACCGAAAGAATTGTGGGTGCTGTAAATCGGGAACAAAAACAAAGTACTGAGGAAGGGTCACCGGATCCGAAACGTTAACTCGTTTTTTTTTATCTTCACAGATGCTGCCAGACCTGCTGAGCTTTTCCAGCAACTTTGTTTTTGTTCCTGACTAGGTTAGGATTGTTTTCGCTGGAGTTCAGACGACTGAGGGGTGATCTCAGAAACTTATAAAATTCTAACAGAACTGGACAGGGTAGCTGCAGGGAGGATGTTCCTGATTGGTGGGTGTGTCCAGAACTAGGTGTACAGTATGAGGATTTGGGGTAGATGATTTAGGACAGAGATGAGACATTTCTTCACCTAAAGAGTGGTGAGCCTGTGGCATTAATTACCACAGGAAGCAGTTGATGCCAAAACATTGAATGTATTCAAGAGGTGACTAGATAAAGCACTTGGGGCGAATGGGATCAAAGGTTACGGGGCAAAAGCAGGATTAGGCTATTGAGTTGGATGATCAGCTTTGATCGTGAAGAATGGTGGAGCAGGCTTGAAGGGCTGAATGGCCACCTCCTGCTCCTGTCTTCTGTTTGTAAAATAACTAGAGATGAGCAATAAGTAGCTATGTCCCAGTGTGATAAATCGACGATAAAAAATGCTTTTTTTTTAAAGTAGTAACATTCCATTGCTGGGAAACTGAATTTCCAGTGGCTAAAAGGCTAGCCAATGAGCAAAACTTTCTGCTCAGGTTGTTAACTAGTAAACCTAAAGCCAGCAATTTGTCCAGCAGCAACAGAGACAACTTTGTTCTCTGCATCTGTCGATCTTGTGAACTGCTGCTAGATACATTGGCTGCACTTTGCTTGGTATTTGGAGTACAGTTCAAAGTATGCGTATAAAGTTGGGGGAGCATTATAGGCATTGCTCTCCTAAAATTGAAATGGCAAATTTGAAACCTCTGTATTTGCTGGAAATTTGAAACCAGGTCATCCTTTTATTACTGAATTGCCCTTGAATTTCTCTTTTTCTTGTCTTAGATTGCATGGAGTAAAGCTTTTATGTTGTCCTCATTTAATTTGATAAGTAAAATCCTTAACAATTCCCTTCATTGTTCTTCCTTTTTCCTTATAAGGAAATTCTCTGCTGTTTTATCATTTCCTGCTTTGGTTTCCTGATTTTCTGCTATGCCCTGAGGGGAGAAATGCCTGTACAAGTTGTAGCAGTAAATGGTTGCAGCTGCCTAAGTAACTCAAAGCACTGGTGACACGTATGTTTTTGTGTGTGTACGCGTGCACTGTTTCCTGTTTGCAAAGCAACGACCAAACTTTGAATCCATGCTTGGCTATTCCTTCTCTGTAATGGGTTTCAAATTCTGTCTTCTTGCAGAACACTGAAAATCTTCCCCCAACCCTGAGGAAAGGGACATTGAGCATCTTGAAAAAGAAGTGGGAAATTCCAGAAAATTCCACAGCACAACCAGTGCTTCCAAAATCGCCTGTCAGAATTAATCGTGCAGATTCCCGGGCTCAGATCGCTGCTGTCAGCCCAAAAGCATACTCCAGCTTTGTGCCTCTAAGTGAGTCGGATCAGAATTTGGAGACTACCCCGAGAGTCAAGTCTCCCAGGAGCCCAGGGGTCTTGAGCAGATTTCCTTATCCTGGTACAGAGAGTGAAGGCCAGGCTGAGTTAAAGATGGAAAGAATTCTTTCTAAAGAGGGGAACGAAGTGGAGAATGGAACAGCACAAGATTTGACAGTCTCCTCTAAAATTGAGAAGTTTAATGTCCCACTGAACAGCTTGAAAATGATGTTTGAGAAGGGGGATGCACATGTTCAGCCTAAGCACAGACACCATGAAAGCCCAGTTAAGGTAAGTGTGTCCCACAAGTCATTTGTTTGAATCAAACCTTCCTTCAGGCTTAGTTGATTTTACAGTGAGCTCAAGTTTACTTGAAGACAGCAAAATAATTGCATGGGGAGCTTGTGGCTCAGAATTTAGAATTTGTGCACTGGTTCATTTGTTTTCAATGTTACAATTTTTTGTTTAAATTTTGAAGGACGTTTTTTCAAATGATCAGCTGTGTCATTTGATGCACTTCTCCTGTCTTTTCAAGAACTCCAGAGCCTTGCATAGCCAGTCTAGACTGCTGCATTTTTCTTTAAAACGGCACAACATAACATTGTCTGGAAATGCTACAGTTGAGTTCTAGCTTTGTTCACTTAAATCTTGAGAATCAGAAATCTGGCACATGATGATTTTGCTTGAGAAAAGCACCAGCAATACAGGCTACTAAAGTACAGGATAAATCCTCTGCGGTGATAGTCGATTTGGTTACAGTTGATGTTGATAGGTTGGGATAATGAAGATAATCCAGGATGTGCTAGTTGAGTGGTTCTATATAGATGCAGGTTGAAGAGAGATTGAGCTGCAACATGTTTTTTTTTTGTTTTGTTTTCCTCTTACGTTACTTGGATTGCATATACTTGCTGTTAAACTTTGACATAGAAGGTGTGCTGGTCCCTGCCGGACAAATACCAGTATGAACTGCCACCTCTTGAGAAAAGGAGTATAAATATCTTCTGGATTGCTGGCTCAAGCAGAAGCTGTTTTGTTTTTGTTTTTTTTTTGCATTTACTCTTGCTTGTTCATACATGTGCCCTCAATCATGTTCTTGATGGTGCTATTGCTCCCATGTATTTGGAGTCATTTTCCCCCCTCTCAACAACAACCCAGTTGAAATCAGCTAAGTTGACACCAACTGAAAATTACAGCTTTCTGGTCTTTGAAGCATGACTTAATTGTTTTGAGCTTATTGTCAATTTTATTCTGTAAAGTTGCATTTTTTTTGTTCACTATGTGAAAGGAGATGAAGACTGGCGCTGTATAATGCTCCAGAGTGCTCAACCACCAATTGAATACTTTTTAGAAATTTAGTCACTGTTGCAGACTATAAAACTTTAAAATTCCATTGCCACTAATTTTGGTAGCCTAATTTTTGGATTTATTTACCATGTTAAGATTTATCTAACTTGTCTATTTCCGCCTCCAGCCCAAGAAATGAATTAATAAATGAATGTGAAATATAGGCACAAATAGAGCATGATTGCTAAACCCTTATGGGCTGAGCTGTTTGGATCTGGGTATTTGGAAAGTTGTCTACGTATATTTGCAGGCGACATCTTTTCACAACGTTGGTCCATGGGAGGAGCAAGAAACTCAAGGCTTTTTTTTAAATTCACCTGTGGGATGTGGGGAATCATTGGCTAGCCAGCATTAATTGCCTGTCCTCCTTTAGCATGTGTATCTGTAGTTCTTGCTACTGCGTCGGAGTAATGAAAGTGTGAGAGATTGGCACTAAGTGGATTTTGCTTTCCATTTTAAAGTGATAACTAGAGGTTGGGTTTTGAAATAATTTCCACTTGTTACTCTATACTTCTAAAAGTATAATGCTGCTTTGCACTTGTGTTCTCCACTCTCAATTGTGCAATCCTTGAAAGGATCAGGACAGCAGCAGATTGCAGTAGGCAGGCGTGCTCTGGTTATCTTCTCTGGGTGTGGTGAAATCCTTGTATTTTGTTCTCTCATTTCTCTCGCCATGTTGGCCATATAGCATGGAAATGAGCCCTTCAGCCCACCTTGTCTGTGCCGAACAGATTGCCTAAACTAAACTAGTCCCATTTGCCTGCATTTGGCCCGTATCCCTCTGAACATCTCCTATTCATGTACCTGTCCAAATGTCTTTTAAATGTTGTAATTGTACATAGCTATACTACTTCCTCTGGCAACTCGTTCCATATATGCACCACCCTCCTGTGTGGAAAAAGTTACGCCTCAGGTCCCCTTTTTTTTATTAAATCTTTCCCCTCTCGCCTTTAAACCTATGCCCTCTATTCCCCTACCCTGGGGAAAAGGCTTGGCTGTTCACCTTATCCATGCCCCTCATGATTTTATAAACCTCTATAAGGTCACCTCCCAGTCTCCTATGCTCCAGAGAAAACAGCCCCAAACCATTCAGCCTCTCCTTATAATCAAATCTTCTGGTCTCAGTAACATCCTTGTAAATCTTTTTTGCCCCGTTCCACTTTAATAACAGCCTTCCCGTATATTCATGGACAGAGACACATTCTCTACAAACAATGGAATATACTGACTCAAAGTCATCAGTGATTTATAGCAACAACCCACTTGGTTTGGTCATGTTCTTCATCATTGATTTTTTTTCATCCGTTACTCAGTCTGGACTACATGACTCCAGACCCACAGCCATGCGGCTGACTCTTAAAAGCCCTTCTGACATGCCTGAGAAAGACACACTGATCAAGAGGGCAATTAGGGATGAGCAACTATTTACTCTTGGGGGTGGTGGGGAAAGCAAAGGTGAACAGTGTCAGGAACCTCTTCTCTGTCTCGGAACCATATGGAGTCACTGACAGCCACGGCATCATTATTTGGTGAGAGAAGAGTTATTCATAGAGGTATACAACTTGTCCATTCTGACCAAGTTTCTTAAACTGAACTAGTCCCTTTTGCCTGCATTTGGCTCATATCCCTCTTAAACCTGAGATGAGCATGGGCATCAGACCTCCCTGGAAGATCCTGGTCTTTTGAGCTGACTGATCTGAGAACCATTTGTATTGGGGATTGGAGGATAACAACATCAATTTATCATATTGCACAAAGGAGAGGACACGTGCGCAAGTCAGCAAAAAAAAAAGCACTGAACAGCTGTTCTGTTTTCTTGTGCGTCCACAAGTTCAGAAGGGAACTGCTCATCAGAGGGTAGACACTTGCCTACGCAATGTAAATTTGTGGTACCTTGCTTTGCCCAAATTGGCTGGTGCATTTCTCACTATATGACAGTGACTATACTTGAAAATGTATTCAATAAGGTATAAGTACTTTTAGGGTGTCCTGAGATCATATAAGATGCTACATAAATACAAATTTGTTTGTCCTGTAAGTCACTGCAGGGAAAATTATTTTGTAGCTCAGACATTTGCAACAAGAATAACTGCTCTTAAATACAAGTGTTTATTGCTTGATCACTCATCCTCTCCTCCTTCACTTTGAGACTTAGTTTGGACTGCTTTGCCAAGCTGTTTCACATGCTAGCCTGTTAAGCAAATCATCTGCATGTCCCCTGATCTACGGGAACAATACTTCTCTTTCTTAAGAGACAGGCAAGCAAAACTAATCTCTGATCTTGAAACCGTAGCTGTGAAAGAGTGTAAAACTCCAACTGATCTACCTGGTGAACCACATTGAAAGATACTGAAAGGAGAGAGGTTTTTAAAAAGTCAAATGATTCACATGAGAGATGCTGTCATATGATGAAACTGGGCTCTTTTAATTCACTCATCCTAAACACATGATTTGCCTTTGCATGTTTATTCCTTTCTTCCTCTTTCTACTCGCTTGTCATTTTTTTAATATAACTTTGTTCCTCTGGGTAGGGCAACAGTAACCTTTCCAAACTTTTCAGCTGAACTGGGTTTGTACCTCTTATCTTTTTAAGAGCATAGTAACAGGACTAGGCTATTCAACCCGTTGAGCCTGTTATACCATTCAGTGAGATCATGGCTGATCTGCGGCCTAACTCCATATACCTGCCTTTGGTGCATAAACCTAAGTACCTTTTGCTTAACAAAAATTTATCTCTCAAAATTAACGACTGATCTAGCACCCACTGCCATTTGTGGAAGAGACTTTCAAACATCTCCCACCCTTTGTGTGTAGAAGTGCTTCCTAACATCTCTCCTGAACGGTCTGGCTCTCATTCTCAGACTGTGCCCCGGTTCTAGAATCCCAACCAGTGGAAATAGTTTCCCTTTATCGACCCTGTCTTTTCCTGTTAATATCTTGAAGACTTTGATCGGATCACTCCATAACCTTCTAAATTCTAGAGAAAACCGGTCTAATTTGTATAAGCTCTGAAGTCCACATATCATTCTTGTAAACCTATGTTGTACTCCCTCCAAGGCCACTATATCCTTCCTAAGATATGGTGCCCAGATTTGCTCTCAGTACTCCCAAGTGGGGTTTAACCAGGGTTTTGAAGAGCTGCAGCACAGATTGTTTTTGTATAATCTAAACAGAAAGGCCAGCATTCTATTAGCTGCCTTGATTATTTTCTGCACTTGTTTATGATGCTTTAAAAATCTATGCACCTAAACCCCCAAATCTATTTGGGCATCCATTGTATTTAACTTCATACCATCTAGAAAGCACCCTGATCTACTTTTTTGTTTGGTCCAAAATGGATAGCCTCTCTCTTGCTTACATTGAACTCCATCTGCCATAATTGGACGGACCATCACCTGATCCAAGCTAGGATCAACGTAAATGTAGCCCTGCTGCAGTGGAGACAACAGAAGCAGTGCTGCAAAAAAGCTCAACATTGTGGTACTCAGACCCAGCAAAAGAGAGCCTCATGCAACCAGCTCTTCTCTCAAACCTAGTGACCCTTGGTGATACCATGTCGCAGGATTCCAATAGCCTCTGGTCTTACCTCAAGGCCACCATCGTTAATGCCTGCAAAACTCATTCAGTTACTTAACCAAGAAACACCAAGACTGGTTTGATGAGTATGACCAGGAGATCCAAGAACTGAAACCAGAAGCGCATGGCATTTGAGTGTTAACCAGCAAATGCACTTGGAAGAGAAAAGGCAGACCTACAGGTAACTGAAGGCAAAGGTCCAATGATGAACCTGTGACGTAAAGAACAGGTCGGGTGGAGAAAGCACCGGAGACCCAACGAATGGCTGACAACCATGATGTGCAGGGTTTCTCCTGTGCTGTCAAGACCACATATGGACCAAACACCCAAGGCCCCACACCACTGCTGGCCAGGGTCAAAGTGACTCTAAT